CTTCCGTGGGAAGCTCAGGTGTTTGTTGTTCAGCTAGATCAGTTTGGTGCCTCGTACATGTGATACAGAATCGGTGTGTATGTCTGTATATGAAGTCACTAGATTTTGAGAGTATCGAGGTAGGCATCAAGATTGCAGGCGCTCACTATAGTTACCCAGGTATCAACACGGGTCTCCGGCCACACCTCCACTTGGTGGTGGTGGTTTAGATTCACCTACTTGGAACACAAAGTTCCAAGTAACACGGGCTATGGTGAGCCCGTCGTACTCACCCGGCAAGATGTGCTGCATGTACACACACCTCCACGATTTATTGAGCTTATAAATTTCACGTTACTGAAATTTATATTCAGTAATTTATATTGTGTGATCCATATCTGTAGCAGCGTTACTGCCGGGTGACGTTCCTGGCCAGTCCTGACTTTCCCTCCGCCACACTGATTATTGCCTTACCTTACAGCCTAGGCTGTGGACGGGACCTACCTCAACGTAGGTAGCCTAGGCTTTTTTTTGGGGGGGGGGGGGAAGAATAGATAGGCACAGGTGAAGGGAAGTTTATAAGTGGAAAGACACTCGCCTGGCGTTCCGCGAGCGCTTTGTCATGGGTTCGTATCCTGGCCGGGGAGGATTTACTGGGCGCAAATCCTTAACTGTAGCCTCTGTTTAACTCAACAGTAAAATATGTACTTGGTTGTAAAAACGATTCTTCGCGGCAGGGATCGTATTCCAGGGACCTGCCCGAAACGCTACGCGTACTAGTGGCTGTACAAGAATGTAACAACTCTTGTATATATCTCAAAAAAAAAAAAATGTACCTAGGAGCCAGAACGCACTTCTCGGCCTACTATGCAAGGCCCGATTTGCCTCATAGGCCGAGTGATTTTCTTTATTTTCAATAAATTGTTTCCTATTGGTTTATTTTAAATATTATATTATATTAAGAACATAAATTATTGATTTAGTTATGTTAGTTTAGGTTAGGTTCAGATAGGTTAGGCTAGGTAGGGTTGGTTAGGTTCGGTCATATATCTACGTTAGTTATAACTACAATTAAAAAAGAAATAGCTCATACATAATGAAATTAATAGCTTTATCATTTCATAAGAAAAAATGAGAAAAATATTGAAATTCTGGAAAACTTGGTTTATTACGCAAATCGCGCCTTGCATAGTAGGCCAAGAACTGCGTTCTGGCTACTAGACACACACATATATATATATATATATATATATATATATATATATATATATATATATATATATATATATGTCGTACCTAGTAGCCAGAACGCACTTCTCAGCCTACTATGCAAGGCCCGATTTGCCTAATAAGCCAAGTTTTCCTGAATTATTATATTTTCTCTAATTTTTTACTTATGAAATGATAAAGCTACCCATTTTATTATGTATGAGGTCAATTTTTTTTATTGTTGTTAAAATTAATGTAGATATATGACCGAACCGAACCAACCCTACCTAACCTAACCTAACCTATCTTTATAGGTTAGGTTAGGTTAGGTAGCCGAAAAAGTTTGGTTAGGTTAGGTTAGGTAGGTTAGGTAGTTGAAAAAACATTAATTCATGAAAACTTGGCTTATTAGGCAAATCGGGCCTTGCATAGTAGGCTGAGAAGTGCGTTCTGGCTACTAGGTACGACATATATATATATATATATATATATATATATATATATATATATATATATATATATATATATATGTCGTACCTAGTAGCCAGAACTCACTTTTCATCCTACTATTCAAGGCCCGATTTGCCTAATAAGCCAAGTTTTCCTGAAATAATATATTTACTATAATTTTTTTCTTATGAAATGATAAAGCAACCCTTTTCTCTATGTATGAGGTCAATTTTTTTTTATTGGAGTTAAAATTAGCGTAGATATATGACCGAACCTAACCAACCCTACCTAACCTAACCTAACCTATATTTATAGCTAAGGTTAGGTTAGGTAGCCAAAAAAAGCTAGGTTAGGTTAGGTTAGGTAGGTTAGGTAGACGAAAAAACATTAATTCATGAAAACTTGGCTTATTAGGCAAATCGGCCCTTGAATAGTAGGCTGAGAAGTGAGTTCTGGCTTTTAGGTACGACATATATATATATATATAGTTATGTTAGTATATATATATATATATATATATATATATATATATATATATATATATATATATATATAATATAATATAATATAATATTACACACACACACACACACCCCTATCTGGTTGATGGGGTTCTGGGAGTTCTACTCCCCAAGCCCGGCCCGAGGCCAGACTTGACTTGTGAGAGTTTGGTCCACCAGGCTGTTGCTTGGAGCGGCCCTCAGGCCCACATACCCATCACAGCCAGGTTGGTCCGGCTGTGATTGTCAATACCTATATATATACCTATAAGGTCAATGGCGTGGTCGCAGTGGCTTGGCAGGTAGTGTCAGGTGAACTTGGCAAGGTGTTCCTCACAGGTGAAGTCAGTGAGGACAGGCTGGTCAAGGCTCCACCTGACCAAGAGTCATCAAGGCGGTGAGGCACTTAGTAGGCACCGACGGAAGAGTATTGTAAGGGAGGTGGTATAGTGGTGGTGGTGGGAAGGACCGTGGCGAGCGTTCACCTGACCCACATGTTAGGTCGGACACTGGCCGCCGCCACCACCACCGTTACCGTGGTTACCTTCGTCAAGGCCTCGCCCGCTCCCTCAGCCTCCAGTCTTCACCACCTGGCCTGGTGCCGTTACCTTCACGCACTGTAAAGGACAGTACTACACACATTCTCTTCAAAAAGGAACTGAACAAACACCAACAATGTGTTTACGCAGACAGCGAGCTGTACTACGAGGTCGTCTACTACAGTGATAATACTCGCCATGATAATGGTCCAGGACGGACCGAAGCGTCGACGTCTTTCATCTTGTAGTGTGAGGTTTGGTCAACATTCTTCAGCCACGTTATTGTGAGGCATCATCTGCACAGTAATAACAACTTTGGGTTGTAGACTTCTGGAGCTGGCAAAGTGTTCAACCATGTTGAACACATGTACATTGAACATGTACAGATGTGGTAAATGTACACACGTGCTTTGTGTGGCGGGCGAGGCGGGCGCTGACCCCAGAGGCGGCGGTGATCCTGGAAGCAGCAGGTGGTGTATATATACACTGGGGAGTGTAGAGGAGCCTGCCAAGACGTGCAGAACCATGGGTGTCAGTAAGGAGTGTAGAGGAGCCTGCCAAGGCGTGCAGAACCATGGGTGTCAGTAAGGAGTGTAGACAGCATTAGTACATCCCTCGTGTGACGTCTCCTCCACACTCCCATACTCTTGCTCGTAAACGGTGCCTGTAATTGTTACTGCTGCACTTTGTTATGGTTATATCACAACGCTCAACTGTTTGTTGTGGTGGAAGTCAGTTGGTGGTGGTAGTGGTCAACCTGTCATCTTAACTAATAGGTCGCGTGTTTTACTTGATGGTAATCAATGTTACATTTGCAGCCTACTAAGAAAAGTAATGTCTCACAAGTGTCCACGTTTCCTACGCCATGGGACTGGATAGGTTAGGTGGGTTACTTGAGTGCGTGTGTGTCTAGTTAGGAGGTTGGGTATTTTACGTAGTGGCAAATGTGACGGGTAAGGTGAGTACCGCCGCCAGGCCAGGCGGCGGTACTCACACCACTTTTGGTATTACAATAGTGCTTAATAATGTTAATGTTGTGAGGGTGAACAGTGAAGGAGAAGGTGTGGTGACGCCATACTCTTGAGTCACGCCGCGCCCCCGGGGGGCACCCCCCCGCCACGCGCCCCCGGGGGCACCCCCCGCCACGCGCCCCCGGGGGGCACCCCCCGCCACGCGCCCCCGGGGGGCACCCCCCGCCACGCGCCCCCGGGGGGCACCCCCCGCCACGCGCCCCCGGGGGGCACCCCCCGCCACGCGCCCCCGGGGGGCACCCCCCGCCACGCGCCCCCGGGGGCACCCCCCGCCACGCGCCCCCGGGGGGCACCCCCCTCCACGCGATCCCGGGGGCACCCCTCGCCACGCGCCCCCGGGGGCACCCCTCGCCACGCGCCCCCCGGGGCACCCCCCGCCACGCGCCCCCGGGGACACCCCCCCCCCCCCCGCCACGCGCCCCCGGGGACACCCCCCCCCCCCCCCCCGCCACGCGCCCCCGGGACACCCCCCCCCCGCCACGCGCCCCCGGGACACCCCCCCCCCCCCGCCACGCGCCCCCGGGACACCCCCCCCCCCCGCCACGCGCCCCCGGGGACACCCCGCCACGCGCCCCCGGGGACACCCCCCTGCCACGCGCCCCCCGGGGGCACCCACCCGGCCTCTCCTCTCTTCAACCACCGTAACAACCATTTATACCGTAGTTTGTAATACTGTGACGGTAAAGGTGGTTAAGGAGTAAGGAGGATGTGGTGAGGATAACTTAGACGGACATGAGGTGTGAGGGGGGGGGTGTATGTGGTGAGACGGGCATGAGGTGTGAGGGGGGGGGTGTATGTGGTGAGACGGACATGAGGTGTGAGGGGGGGTGGTGTATGTGGTGAGGCGGACATGAGGTGTGAGGGGTGGTGTATGTGGTGAGGCGGGCATGAGGTGTGGGGGGGGGGGTGGTGTATGTGGTGAGGCGGGTGTGAGGGGGGGGTGTATGTGGTGAGGAGCGATAGTGAGTGAGAAGGCAGTTGGTGGAGGGATGGTGTGAGTCATGCAGGAAGGTCATGCCCTGGTCGTGCAGACACCATCATCACTCTCACATTACTCTCTCTCACTCCCCACCTTCACCACTATTATCACTAGTACTCTTACCTCAGTTATTACCCTTCCATCTTTACACACACACTCGCCTTTTCTCACACTTTATTATTATTATATTTACAGTACTTCTACACTTGTCGCTTGGATGTGTACAGAGACTTGTTCTCTCAACGTGATCACGTAACTTAAATTGAATTTTTTAAATTTCACGTAACTAAACTGTTGTTGTTGGTCTTTTCAGGCAAAGCTGAGGATGAGGTGGACAGATCAAGTGTGAGTATTCTCAGTCTTCTTCTAACTCCAGATGTTTACACTTGTAATAATGTATTTATTAACTTATTATATAGGTTTTTAATAGTAAGGTTAGATACAATGTTTAAGGCTTTGATTTTATATAGCTGGTTATTTTGCTTAGTATAGTTGTAATCACAGAATTATTATGGTTATAGAGCCAGCTCTGTTTAGAATGTGTAATATGGAGTGTGTGTGGCGCCACTGTTGGTGGTGCTGGGACACCCCCAACGGTACTGTTGGTGGTGCTGTGACACCCCCAACGGTACTGTTGGTGGTGCTGTGACACCCACAACGGTACTGTTGGTGGTGCTGTGACACCCACAACGGTACTGTTGGTGGTGCTGTGACACCCCCAACGGTACTGTTGGTGGTGCTGTGACACCCCCAACGGTACTGTTGGTGGTGCTGTGACACCCACAACGGTACTGTTGGTGGTGCTGTGACACCCACAACGGTACTGTTGGTGGTGCTCTGGCACCCACAACGGTACTGTTGGTGGTGCTGTGACACCCACAACGGTACTGTTGGTGGTGCTCTGGCACCCACAACGGTACTGTTGGTGGTGCTCTGGCACCCACAACGGTACTGTTGGTGGTGCTCTGGCACCCACAACGGTACTGTTGGTGGTGCTCTGGCACCCACAACGGTACTGTTGGTGGTGCTCTGGCACCCACAACGGTACTGTTGGTGGTGCTCTGGCACCCACAACGGTACTGTTGGTGGTGCTCTGGCACCCACAACGGTACTGTTGGTGGTGCTCTGGCACCCACAACGGTACTGTTGGTGGTGCTCTGGCACCCACAACGGTACTGTTGGTGGTGCTGTGACACCCACAACGGCACTGTTGGTGGTGCTCTGGCACCCACAACGGTACTGTTGGCGGTGCTCTGGCACCACAACGGTACTGTTGATGGTGCTGTGACACCCCCAACGGTACTGTTGGTGGTGCTCTGGCACCCACAACGGTACTGTTGGTGGTGCTCTGGCACCCACAACGGTACTGTTGGTAGTGCTGTGACACCCACAACGGTACAGTTGGTGGAGTGATGGTCACGGCCTGGTGACCACTCCAGTGTGGAGGTGCACGGCCTGGTGACCACACCAGTGTGGAGGTGCACGGCCTGGTGACCACACCAGTGTGGAGGTGCACGGCCTGGTGACCACACCAGTGTGGAGGTGCACGGCCTGGTGACCACACCAGTGTGGAGGTGCACGGCCTGGTGACCACACCAGTGTGGAGGTGCACGGCCTGGTGACCACACCAGTGTGGAGGTGCACGGCCTGGTGACCACACCAGTGTGGAGGTGCACGGCCTGGTGACCACTCCAGTGTGGAGGTGCACAGCCTGGTGACCACTCCAGTGTGGAGGTGCACGGCCTGGTGACCACTCCAGTGTGGAGGTGCACGGCCTGGTGACCACTCCAGTGTGGAGGTGCACGGCCTGGTGACCACTCCAGTGTGGAGGTGCACAGCCTGGTGACCACTCCAGTGTGGAGGTGCACGGCCTGGTGACCACTAGGGTGAAGAGTGTGACTGGCGTCATGTACAGTGCCGCCTGGTGATCGCTGGCGCCGTCTCTCCTTTAGTCAATACTCTATTCACCAATACTCAATACAATAAATATTTAAAATTTCCATTTTTATTAATAATCCAGTGTTCTTGAAATATAGTAGGATTTTATAATATTAAATTCCTGTGTAAGCATACTTTATGAATAATATTATAATTTTGAGATATCCATTTGTGTTGGCTTGTGAACACTGGTTAGAAGTCAGCGTGTGGCTGTGTGTGTTGTTTGGGAGGAGTGAGAGTGTAGGAGTGTGGCACTTGGTGCAGTGTGGACAGTATTGGTGGCCCTCTTGTTGCTAGAGTGGCAGACGTGGATGTTGAGTGTGCAGGTAAAAGTTGTATATAGTGAATGTGTGTGTGTGTTGTAACTTCAGGAAGGTATAGTGGATGGGAGTACATGCTAGAACACCAGCGGGTCGCTGTCAAGTTATTGTTATGGTGTGTCCATGGCTAGAGGGATCAAGGGTAAGGTAGAAGGGGGGGGGGACATACCTGGAGTGTGTGTCAAGAGTTCTACTCCCCGAGCTGAGGCCAGGCTCGACTTGTGATAACTTGGTCCAACAGGCTGTTGGTTGGAGTGGCCCGCAGGACCACATATCCACTAGAGCCTGGTAAGGTAGAGGGGGGGGGTTATACCAGCAACACTTAAGTCAGCAGATATAGCTCCTCTGCACAAGGGAGGTAGTAAAACTTTGCCAACAAAATAAGAGACCAGTTGCACTAACATCACAAATAATAAAAGTTTTTGAAGGAGTGATTAGGAATCACATTTCCAGTTTTATGGAAAATAATGAACGTTGCAACCTTTAGGGCGCCTGACAGCTGAGTGGACAGCGCTTCGAATTCGTAGTCCTGAGGTTCCGGGTTCGATCCCCGATGGAGACGAAGACAAATGGGGAAAAAGTTTCTTTCATCCTGATGCCCCTGCTCACCTAGCAGTAAATAGGTTCCTGGGAGTTGACAGCTGCTACGGGCTGCTTCCTGGGGGGGGGGGTGTAACCAAAAGGAGGCCTGGTCGAGGACCGGGTCGCGGGGACGCTAAGCCCCGAAATCATCTCAAGATAACCTCAACATACCCCAGGACAACATGAATTTAGAGCGGGAAGAGCCTGTCTGCCAGTTACTCAACCACTGACAGCATCACAGAAGCCTTACAGGAAAAGCAAAAATGCAGATGTTGTATACACAGACTTTGCAAAGTTATTTGACAAATGTGACCATGGAGTGATATCCCATAAAATGAGATCAATAGGAATAACGGGTAAAGTGGGTTGTTGGGTTTTCAACTTCCTGTCAAACAGAATGTAGAGAGTAATGGGCGCAAGATCAAGCCCAAGTGCAGTGAAAAGCTCTGTGCACCAGGACACAGTTCTTGCACCACTGCTATTTCTCATTCTTATCTCTGATATAGACAAAAATACTAGTCATAGCTTCGTGTCATCCTTTGCAGATGCTATAAAAATCAGCATGAAAATTGCCACTGTAGAAGACACTGAAAAACTACAGGTAGATATAAAGATGATACTTTATATCTACCAGTAGTTTTTCAGTGTCTTCTACAGTGGCAATTTTCATGCTGATTTTTATAGCATCTGCAGATTGGGCATCTGAAAGTAACATGATGTTTAACGGTGATAAGTTCCAGGTACTGAGGTATGGTGGAAACGAGGAAGTTAAACGACACACAGGGTACAGGACACACTCAGACCTACTCATAGAAAGAAAGCAACATGTAAAAGATCTGGGAATTATGATGTCTGACGACCTGACATTTAGTGAACATAACCGAGTAAATATACCGGCGGCCAGGAAAAATAATTGGATGGATTATGAGAACGTTCAAATCCAGAGACCTCACAGCAATGGTAGTAATATTTAAATCACTGGTGCTGTCCCGTCTTTAGTATTGCCAGGTACTCACTTTCCATTTCAGAGTGGGAGAGATCTCTGAATTAGAGGGAATACAAAGAACATTATACGGCATGCATAGAAACTATAAAAAATCTGAATTATTGGGACAGTCTCAAAATGTACTCTGTGGAAAAGAGACGAGAATTGTTGTTGTTGTAATAAATTCAGCTACTGGGAACAAAAAAGTTCCAAGTAGCACGGGCTATGGTGAGTCCGTAGTGGACTTACCTGGCATAGGAGCGGGGCTGTAACTTGAGACGAGAAAGTTATCAAATAATATATACATGGAAGATACTGGAGGGCCAGGTCCCAAAATTGCAGTGGAATAAGAACATACTGGAGCGAAGGAAATGGAAGGAAATGCAGAATAGAAGCAGTGAAGAGTAGAGGTGCCATAGGCACAATCAGAGAACACTGAACATCAGTGGTCCACAGCTGTTCAACACCCTCCCAGTAAGCATTGTAAATATTGCCGGAACAAATGTGAAGGTATAAAGAGGTACTTGGACTAGTTCTTGCAAGAAGTGCCAAACCAACCAGGCTGTAGTGGATATGTGGGCTTGAGGGCAGCTCCAAGCAACAGCCTGTTGGACCAAGTTATCACAAGCCGAGGCCGGGCTCAGGGAGTAGAGCAACACCGTAAACTGTCTCCAGGTATGATGGGTAAGATAAGGGTAAAGAAGGAAGGCAGGAGCCTGGGCGCGCTTACTAACCTGGCCTCCCCCGGCAGCGTTCCCTGCCCCGTCGCCCACTTGCTCTTCGCAAGAAGGTAAACTGCACTCAACGAGGCATTTAACCAACTTTGGTGCTTGTTTGGCTTATACAGTAATCACTCGCTAATTACCCACTAAACACACTTATCCTCTCAACCGTAATGTTTGTTTCTTGTGAATAATAGTTTTTCGTTTAAATTCCCTATTGTTTGTTTCATTATTGGGGAAATAATACGAATATTGTCTAATGTAATAAACAACATTGTAATGTATTGTTTAATGTAATGTAGGAAAGGTAGTGTAGGTAAGAAAGGGAAGGACATTTTGTGAGTGATGAGTGTCCATTGTAACAGCTAATGTGTAGAGTGGTGGTGTGGTCATGTCTCGTGTGCAGTGAACGCTCACATTGTCCATTGGTGGTGTGGTAGTGGGTGGTTTGTTGCTGTGCTCCGCCCCCCCCCCTCTCTCTGCTGCCGCACATTATCACTTAACACACACAAAGTATGTGATAAATGTGAAGTTAATGGTGGAGAGTGATGAGCCAGAGGAGGTGAGTGGTGTTGAGGCAGCAGCAGAGGGTGGAGATGGTAACATGGGTAGGGTGGCCGCCACCTCCCCTGCCACACAACTCTCTGCGTGTCTTAACGCCACCACCGCCGCCACGGCTTAACTTTAATCATTAATGTGTTAATTAACGCCATGTTGCCACTTACAGCTGCTGTTGTCACCTCCTGATTACTCTCTTAATCTCAACATCTTCAACATTTGAGGAACAATTGCTGATCTTGGCTGTATTGTTAAACACAACACTCGTGCGAGAAACACTGAAAAAGAGCCTAATATTTGTAACAAATTATTATTATATATTACTGGGCTTGTTTTGTTACACTTCGAGGCGCTTGTGCATCTTACATATATTTATGACATTGTTAATAAGGAAGAAGGCATTGCGACGCATTAGTTACAACGCAGTTCTGGTATTACATCTATATAGTAATATATTGTAATACTCCTATATTACCTATGCAAGACGCATAAGTAATATAGCGTCTTGTGCGGTCAGTGTTCATCTGATAATGCTTTCCTATATCGCTTCTCTCATCCTTTTAGAAGACAAGATTCTTCTTTCATATATTTTATTGCATATCTTGGTGAGTGTGGAACGTTAACTTGTTGCACTCCATCTGCTGATATAGGTGCATGCACGCCACTGTAATTATCATAATGTGTTTTACCAGAGGGAGTTTATTAATGCAGTACGTTAATGTTGTAAGGAGCCTGGTATTACTAACACATTACCCAGTCATGTACCACGAGGAGTGTTGTAGGTCTCTGTGCATGATCTATGTAACAGTAAGTTTGTCATGCAGTTTTTAATATTACCAGTATGAGAGACGCTTCAGTCCTATGCTTTAATATTTAATAACTTTTTATCGTTTTTTTTCAAATAACTGACTGCTGGAAATGCTTGAGATATCCCTTGCCTGATTTCTCTTCTCATTTTCTATGCCCAGCCATTCATACACAGAGGAGCGACGGGCAAGGTAGTTTATTTTCAGTTTATACTAGTAATTGGGTTAGCATGATGTGTGATGGGTGTATGCATGAGAAGCACGCCTGTGGGTGGTGTTCCTCCGCCAGACCTTACAGAACACGGCCATGGTCATGCTTCCTATTCCATGTGGTGAGGACGTCACCTTCCGATATTGCATGGTTAGATTGTTCACACAGACGTAGATGCGCCCAACTCCACTAGTTATCTAAAAGTTTAGATATTCTTGAGCACACACTGTGCTCTACTTTTGAAGTGCAGAAGAAATCTAATAAGAACAATCTTAATTGCATCCACTGGAGCCTTAGGGAATTCGAACCTATGCGCTGGGTGTTTCCAGGCGCGCTCTAGTCGACCGCACCACGACATGGTCAAAAGAATTGCAGCCTAGGATGCTACTGTGGATTTATTCATAGATATATCATGTTAAAGGGATTTCTCTGTGCATTGAAGGAGGTTGATAGAGCCCGAATACATGAAGGAATTGTGGGAAACCCAATTGTGGGTTGACTCTTGTGGGTGCAGTAGTACCCCAGGCTGCAGTTCTTTTGATCATATTGTGGTACAGTCGACTAGTGCGCGCCTGGGAACACCCAGCGCATAGGTTCGAACCCTTATCACGGCGCCTGTGGAGTTTAATCATTGATATATCACATTAATGTGATTTCTTTGTGTAGTCTTAATTGTGTTGTATTGCCCATAATACTTTCCATATAGTCATAATTATTTCAGGTATTCTATTTTTCTGGAGTAGTGCCATTGATTTTGAAATTTTATAGTAACGCGACCTTGCCTCCTTCCCGCAGGCTCCGCCTCCCTCCCTCCCTCCCACAGGCTCCGCCTCCCTCCCTCCCTCCCACAGGCTCCGCCTCCCTCCCTCCCTCCCGCAGGCTCCGCCTCCCTCCCTCCCTCCCACAGGCTCCGCCTCCCTCCCTCCCTCCCACAGGCTCCGCCTCCCTCCCTCCCTCCCGCAGGCTCCGCTCCCTCCCTCCCGCAGGCTCCGCCTCCCTCCCTCCCGCAGGCTCCGCCTCCCTCCCTCCCTCCCACAGGCTCCGCCTCCATCCCTCCCGCAGGCTCCGCCTCCCTCCCTCCCGCAGGCTCCGCCTCCCTCCCTCCCTCCCGCAGGCTCCACCTCCCTCCCTCCCTCCCTCCCGCAGGCTCCACCTCCCTCCCTCCCTCCCGCAGGCTCCACCTCCCTCCCTCCCTCCCTCCCGCAGGCTCCACCTCCCTCCCTCCCTCCCGCAGGCTCCACCTCCCTCCCTCCCTCCCTCCCGCAGGCTCCACCTCCCTCCCTCCCTCCCTCCCTCCCTCCCTCCCTCCCGCAGGCTCCACCTCCCTCCCTCCCTCCCTCCCGCAGGCTCCACCTCCCTCCCGCAGGCTCCACCTCCCTCCCTCCCTCCCGCAGGCTCTCCCTCCCTCCCGCAGGCTCCCCCTCCCTCCCGCAGGCTCCCCCTCCCTCCCTCCCTCCCTCCCGCAGGCTCCCCCTCCCTCCCTCCCTCCCGCAGGCTCCACCTCCCTCCCTCCCTCCCGCAGGCTCCACCTCCCTCCCTCCCTCCCGCAGGCTCCACCTCCCTCCCTCCCTCCCGCAGGCTCCACCTCCCTCCCTCCCTCCCGCAGGCTCCACCTCCCTCCCTCCCGCAGGCTCCACCTCCCTCCCTCCCGCAGGCTCTACCTCCCTCCCTCCCTCCCTCCCGCAGGCTCTACCTCCCTCCCTCCCTCCCTCCTGCAGGCTTTACCTCCCTCCCTCCCTCCCGCAGGCTCCACCTCCCTCCCTCCCTCCCGCAGGCTCCACCTCCCTCCCTCCCTCCCGCAGGCTCCACCTCCCTCCCGCAGGCTCTGCCTCCCTCCCTCCCTCCCTCCCTCCTTCCCGCAGGCTCCGTCTCCCTCCCTCCCTCCCTCCCGCAGGCTCCGTCTCCCTCCCTCCCTCCCTCCCGCAGGCTCCGTCTCCCTCCCTCCCTCCCGCAGGCTCCGTCTCCCTCCCTCCCTCCCTCCCGCAGGCTCCGTCTCCCTCCCTCCCTCCCGCAGGCTCCGTCTCCCTCCCTCCCTCCCTCCCGCAGGCTCTGTCTCCCTCCCTCCCTCCCTCCCTCCCGCAGGCTCCGTCTCCCTCCCTCCCTCCCTCCCGCAGGCTCCGTCTCCCTCCCTCCCTCCCTCCGGCTCCGTCTCCCTCCCTCCCTCCCTCCCTCCCTCCCTCCCTCCCGCAGGCTCCACCTCCCTCCTTCCCGCAGGCTCCACCTCCCTCCCTCCCCGCAGGCTCCGTCTCCCTCCCTCCCTCCCGCAGGCTCCGTCTCCCTCCCTCCCTCCCTCCCTCCCTCCCTCCCTCCCTCCCTCCCTCTCTCCCTCCCTCCCTCCCGCAGGCTCCGTCTCCCTCCCTCCCTCCCTCCCTCCCTCCCGCAGGCTCCGTCTCCCTCCCTCCCTCCCTCCCGCAGGCTCCGTCTCCCTCCCTCCCTCCCTCCCGCAGGCTCCGTCTCCCTCCCTCCCTCCCTCCCGCAGGCTCCGTCTCCCTCCCTCCCTCCCTCCCGCAGGCTCCGTCTCCCTCCCTCCCTCCCTCCCGCAGGCTCCGTCTCCCTCCCTCCCTACCTCCCTCCCTCCCGCAGGCTCCGCCTCCCTCCCTCCCGCAGGCTCCGCCTCCCTCTCTCCCTCCCGCAGGCTCCGCCTCCCTCTCTCCCTCCCGCAGGCTCCGCCTCCCTCCCTCCCACCCGCAAGCTCCGCCTCCCTCCCTCCCGCAAGCTCCGCCTCCCTCCCGCAAGCTCCGCCTCCCTCCCTCCCTCCCTCCCGCAAGCTCCGCCTCCCTCCCTCCCTCCCTCCCTCCCGCAAGCTCCGCCTCCCTCCCTTCCGCAGGCTCCGCCTCCCTCCCTCCCTCCCTCCCGCAGGCTCCGCCTCCCTCCCTCCCTCCCTCCCGCAGGCTCCGCCTCCCTCCCTCCCTCCCGCAGGCTCCTCCTCCCTCCCTCCCTCCCGCAGGCTCCGCCTCCCTCCCTCCCTCCCTCCCTCCCGCAGGCTCCGCCTCCCTCCCTCCCTCCCTCCCGCAGGCTCCGCCTCCCTCCCTCCCTCCCTCCCGCAGGCTCCGCCTCCCTCCCTCCCTCCCTCCCGCAGGCTCCGCCTCCCTCCCGCAGGCTCCGCCTCCCTCCCGCAGGCTCCGCCTCCCTCCCTCCCTCCCTCCCGCAGGCTCCGCCTCCCTCCCTCCCTCCCTCCCGCAGGCTCCGCCTCCCTCCCTCCGTCCCTCCCGCAGGCTCCGCCTCCCTCCCTCCCTCAGGCTCCGCTCCCCCTCCCTCCCTCCCTCCCTCAGGCTCCGCCTCCCTCCCTCCCTCCCTCCCACCCTTCTGCAGGCTCCACCTCCCTCCCTCCCTTCCGCAGGCTCCGCCTCCCTCCATCCCTCCCTCCCGCAGGCTCCGTCTCCCTCCCTCTCTCCCGCAGGCTCCGCCTCCCTCCATCCCATCCCATCCCTCCCTCCCTCCCGCAGGCTCCACCTCCCTCCCTCCCGCAGGCTCCACCTCCCTCCCTCCCGCA